TATAATAGTAAAAATCCCACATTTATCTCCAATTAAAACCCTAGACGAGCTTCCAAAGCGATCTACTCCTCCACCTAATCCCCAAGCGTAGCCTGAGCTCTTATACTACTTGTTGTGCTCTGATACCACTTGTTATGGGGTTCGTGGAAATCCACACAAACGTCGAGAGAAGGTCACACATGATCAAAAATAATGACACGAACACAAACAAACGAATTTAACGTGGTTTGACAAGTTGCCTACGTCCACGGGGCAAGAAGGGGATGAGTTTTCACTATTAGAGAGAGTACAAATAGAAATTACACAATCACTCAATACCTCACAAATTAATCTCTCAAACAAAACTCTTAAATCTCTGACCAAATCTCCCAAACATACAGCTCAGAAGTCTCTCAAATTCCCCTTTTACTTATTTTCTATTGTAAAACGTTCTATATGTATAAAAATCCTAAAACCAAAACCATAGAAATTCTAAAACCAAAATCAAAACAGATTAGGAATTCAATAACCTGTTACCAAAACAGATTATGAATCCCAATAATCTGTTACCAAAATAAATTAGGAAACATATTAGGAACCTGTTACTATCCAACAGGGGTGGAATCATCGAGAAAAAGATTTATTAATTATCGCAATTCGATTTGGACCTCTTGTTGTAGTTATGGATCTCAACGACTCTCGGCTAACTGCCAGTAGTCCCCACGTCATATGGACTGGAGTCAACATCACGAGGATGCATAAATCTGTTCCTGCCTATAAATTCGAAAATTCCTTCAGTACTGTAGCTAGAGAGTTTTAAATCTAAAATTTTCCATGAGCAAAGTAACTTATTAATGTACTCTTTCCTCTGTCAAGTAATTGATAAGTATTGATTACTTAATCTCTTTAAAGGGATTAATTGGCTAGTAAGTGTATAGCTCAAATGATCGAGGAGTTAATCCATAATTAATTAAGTACTAAGATTTGAGAAATGGAAGGTATCTTTTAGTTACTCATGGCAAAAATAAATTTTCAGGAAAAAAAAACTATAAGCAAACAAAAGATTGAGAAATATCGGATTAATTGTTAACAAGAGGTTGCTGCGTTAATTAATGATAAATGTTAATTAAAAAGTCAAGGGAACCATTGTAAAATATCATATATTTCGTTGGTGCCTTTTTGCTTGTCTACAAGTTTTGATTACCATTAAAATAAATAAATAAATAAACGGTTATGAAAGAAAAATATCATATATTGCGTTGCTGCCTTTGCATGCGTGCAACTTTTGATGTGAGCTATTTCGTGTGTACAAGTTTTGATGTGCAAGTTGCTAAGTTTGTCCGCTTTACTTGTGGAATAATCATTTTAATCATTTAGTCTGGCAGTGCATTTATTTAATCTTCTATAATTGGTATACTTATCATCATATTTTTTTTTATTAAAAAAAAGGCTAATTACAACTTTCAGATTGTAAAATTGTAGACAAATACAATATGCTATCAAAAAATTTATACAACAGTTGTAATTTATATCAAATATCTAAAGTTACAACAACCTTTTTTTATTTTTTGTACAAAATGGCTTACAAATTGTAACAACCATTTATATTCCCTGTCTAGAGATATTATGATAAATAATGAAATATTTGGAAGTGTCATGGGTTCTTATCTTACATACTACAACATCAATGTCGATATCTTTTCCCCTTTTATATATTCAATCTGGATATTGTTGGGGGAGAAATCGGGTCCAATCTAGAGTTGATGGGCCTTAAATAGAAGTTATGAATCAATTTTAACCAAAAAATTATAGCTATCAGGTAGTTCTATTTAAACTCATCAATCTTTCTTATCTTATCCGAGTGGGACTATACTCACATATTAGTCACCTCAACAACTCTCTCTTAATTTGTAAGTATAGTTCAATTCAACTGTAATTCAATATTCTGCGAAATCCACTAAGTTTTGCTCCATTTCACTCGTGGGCTAATCAATTCACAAACTTTTGCACAACTTCACTCATGGGCTAACCAGACCATGAATTCAACACATAGCTATCAAACATCCGTAGGAACTTCCACCACTTCACTCATGATGGCTAGTTGGACTATATCACTCCTACGGGCATCCATGGATTCTCCCGACACCTTCGAGCTTCATATAAAAAATCATCTATTTTTTTAAAGTGCTTGGACCATGACCTTGGCTCTGATACCATTGTTGGGGGAGAAATCAGTCCCAATCTAGAGTTGATGGGCCTTAAACAAAAGTTAGGAATCGGTTTTAACCAAAAAACTATAGCTATTAGGTATTGAACCAAACTCCTATTTAAACACATGACTCTTCCTTATCTTATCCGATGTGGGAATATAACCACGTACTAATCACATCAACAGATATACGTGCTATAAATACAACGTACTTGGTAGACACATAAAAGGCCTACCACTTTATTGTGTCCTCATCATCCCCAATTAATATCCTTCAATTCGCATACTATATTAAAACAACTACCGAAAAAGAAAATCCACAGAAATTTCTAAAAAAGTTAGAAAGTACTNTTCTTCCTTCCTAAACAAACCCAACAAAAACGCACCATCATCCGCTCACCCAATTTCCTACCCACCAACGCTCTAATTAAGCAAATCAAGTTTTTTCCACATATACCCCACTTGATATTTTTTCTAAAATAAAACCTCCAGATAACCATAGGTATAATCCATTAAGCGATACTTATTATTATCACAATCACCCAAAAAGTTCGCCCCTCCTTTTAATAACATTCCAAAAGTAGAATCGCGGAGTGCTCGTTAGTTATATTTCGTTTCGTAACGTTTATGTGTATTTTAATTAACATTTCTAATCATCATATTAATTAATTTCCCCCGATATCGCGCTCCGAACGTCTCAACTAAACCGAGGACAGAAAGGTCATTTCACCCGTCATAACGTGAAAGGCGACCTCCCCCACTATAAAAGGTCGAGGAGGCCGCGGTCATAAAATTAAAAGGAGGGACGATCGGTCGAGGAGAAGAGAAAGGGCCTCCGTCCGTTCTCGATCTCCTCTCGTTGACGCGCGCGCCGCTGATTTTTGTCGTCCTCGGTTCTGTTCCGCGTCGACCCCGCCCCCCGACCCGCGCGTGCTCCTCCGTAATGGCGAGGTACGAGCCGATAAAGGGAGAGATCAGCGCGTCGCGCGTGGCCATCGACGTCTCGAAAGGCCCGGCGACGCCATCGCCGCCGCCCGCGAAGAAGCCGGAGCGGCTGGCTCGCTCGGACGTTTTCCGAGGACTCACGGTGGCGGTACGATACTCGATCATGCTTTTAAAAACTAATTTACTAGTGAACGGATAAATTCGATATGAAAACAATTGTTCGGGAGGAGGATTTTCTGCAAATTTTTTTTTTTAAAAAAAAATGTGTTTTCGGATAATGTAGGTTCAAATTGAATAATTATGGAAATATCTAACAAATCGAATCGAATTCGGTCACCGGTAATCATTCGTTCTCTCCTCTTCACCGTCCGAAGAGAGAGAGAGAGAGGCGCGCGGTTGGTGCGCCTTTTTATGATATTCCCGAAAATGTCACCGAATTTCGGCTGATATTATTATTATTATTATTTTTTGCGCCGCTGCCTTTTCAAGTTTTCAACTGTGCATGGCTTTTTCGTAATTACTTGCAACATGATGGGTGTCAGTTTATCGAGATAGCAGATTCATTTTTGTTTCCGCCGGAAAGTGTTGCCTGTGGGCCAACCATGTGTTTGGGGCGCCTTGCAACTTTCCATGTTAGTCCTGTTTGTTATTCGTTATTCTCTTCCAATTTCTCAATATATAGTTTTATTTTTTTTCTTTATTTTAAGTTATAATATTGTTCTAGTCGTATAACTTTACTTCCAACTAGAAGAAAGGAATAGCGATTGTTAAGAGTATTTTATTAAGCTAGTATTTGCTTCGATATTAATTGATATCATTTTGTAATTACAACCGTAAACAAAATGAGTAAATGATTTTAGTATGTCCAGCCAGACTATAACTTTTATACTACTTTTGCATAAAGTCGCAAAATTATGAGGTTTTCTGCACAAAAGCGGTACAGAAGTGATGAATTTTGTTATTATATTAGGAAAAATGGAATATAGATGAAATAAACAGCATGCAAACTGTAATTTAGAAATTGTAAATATTGCAAAAATAAGAAAAACCTAAAAAAATAGCTACTTATTATATGCACAACTGGTTTGGGTTCATTAGCTATGTGGACCATGATGCTGCCACGTGTAGGTTATGGTCATCATGTGGTCCAACAGCAGTGGACCTTTATCATTTCATCCCTTTTTTTTTGTGATGGCATATAAAAACACAAGGGGATTCGTGAAAACCTTTGACGTTTTTGGACTATCTGAAGTCCAATGCGGTCGAGTTCACCGCGAGCCCATCACCCATTGGATCCTTGACACGTGTCTCATAGATTGTGCTGTTGGTTATCAAGGAGAAAATGATTTAAGGACCCAAAATATGAGACCAAGAGAGGGGACAGGTGAGGTGTCCTCTCCCTATTACATAATGAGTTGGTCATGCCAACTCATGCCAACTCATTATGCAATAGGGAGGAGACACTTCACCTGTCCCCTCCATTGGTTCCATATTTTGGGTCCCCGTAGCAGCACTCTTATCAAGGAATCGGTTGAAGGGGAGGAGCCGAAGCATGTGAGGCTCCCTTCATAGGAAAGACAAAAGTCCCTCAGCTCCCTTTCGCATTTGCCAACCTCATAAACATAGGGCCCACATAATCCTACAAAATTTATACGTAGTCATATGCATTTTATTGTAATTTTATTAGATTTCTACCAAACAACATAACTGGCCTAATGAAATTAGAAAATCTGTCACCAATCAAATTTGAGAATGATGATCCAATGGACGCATATAAATTGTGTATTTCGAGCCGTTACCGAAAAGAGTAGATGAAAAACTTCACTTGCGCGCAGAGTGTTCTGATATAATTTTTCTCCTAGACCGATACCTTCACAATACACGCGAACAAGTACGACGATTATCTTGGTAGTGGTGCCGAGTATAAGCAACCATCCATCAATCAAATTTACTAAGTTGTCCTTTGTATATTGCATTTGAATTGGTCTGATCTTGTGTGGCACACCTCAGAACTGTTTTATTCAATATTTGGTGTCTTTTCTTTTCATAGATCTACCTGTGGATGAGAAATGGGTGCTTTGAGTGCACTACACGTTTATCTCTACTCCTGCTTTTGGTCCTGAGTCGGTTGGACTTAAAAGTAAAGATTTTTATTTAGGTTGGGTGGGAGCAACTTTAATCAGAAGCTACCGTGTGCCAGTAATGGAACAGTTTTGGTAGTTATATACGCATTTATTTTGTGATTGCCAAGGATAAAAGGCTACATATGCCTTTTTTTTTAAGGAGGAATGCTTAGCTTTATGGGATCCTAATCACAAGCAAATAACATGCTTGAGTACTAGGGGCTGATGATAAACTAGTTTTTGACTTCTCATTGTGGTCCAAAGGTGCCAAATTTTTATGTGTTTATAGAGTTTGGACCATATTTTAAATTAGCTACTAGTGGAATGAAGGCAAGAGATAAAAGAAAGTGGGATGAGGATCTTTGCAAGAAAAAAATGGGGGGTCTGTCATTGTTTAGCTGGTTGCCTGTAGGAGGTGCTTCAAGCTTAAAAGAAGGAAATAGATCGAATCTTGCTTGAACTACCTAGCAAATAGGGGTTTTTCTCTTATCGAGAGTAAGATGATTTAAGTTCCATGTTTGGTCAAGCATAAGTGACACATAGTTAATTCGGAGAAATGTTATGGGATCATTGTGCCAAAAAAAAAAGAAGGTATATTCATAAAAATTCAATATCTCAATCAACTTGTAAGGCTTCTTGAATAATTTATTTAAACAATATTCTGTTTTTGAGGGTAAAGGAGTCAAAATAAAAAAAATCATTCCACAACAGGGATACTACAGGGGGCCTATCCACGACTAACCCTGTTGTATAAAACTTGCTTACTTTACATGATATTAACATTTTTCCAAGTCTCAGATAGTTATAGCAGTAGTAAATTACAACATGGATTGTGGTTAACAGTCATCAAGCACTGTACAGTAGATGTTTAAAATCATTCTTTTATTAAACAAGTCCTTTGAGATTTTGTTAATTGGCTTGCCTGTAGAAGGTTCTGCTTGAAAGAAGGAACAGAGTGAATCTTACTTTTAAGAAATTGCCTAACTCATTAAAGTCTTCCTTTTTTTGATTATGTGATTCGATACGTCTATGATTAGTCAACCGTCCATTTAACCTAGTTAACAAATGAGAAAAATATTAAACGACTATCGTGCATCAACTTTTTTAGAAAGCAGGTATGATCACCAAGAGATGGATAATTCATATGCTTAACAATTTAGAGAAAGTTTAATTTCCAACGTTTCAGGACAATCCATATTGTGATATCAAACTCATTGACCGTAGGCTACTGATAATATGAGCAACATTTATCTGCAATTTTTTATGCCCAATATTGGGGTCTTTCCATGTGTACTTATTTATATCTTGAACATGGAAAGAACATGCGTGTAATTATCAGTCCATTGTTGCAAATATATGGAATTATTTACTTTACTATTCTAGGGGTTTCTCATACTTTTTTCTATTGCAGATTATGATTCTGGTTGATGATGCTGGTGGAATTTTCCCAAGAATCAATCATTCTCCATGGAATGGTGTAACTATTGCTGATTTTGTCATGCCCTTTTTCTTGTTTATAGTTGGAGTAGCCCTAACACTTGCATACAAGGTATATGGATAAAAATGTATACGCCTGCGTTCTATTTTTTTCCCTTAAATTTCATTTTCTATACAAGTTTCCAAGTTTACTAGTTGATGTTGATCCCATGCAGAGAGTGTCAAATAGAGCCGCCGCGACAAAGAAGGCTATGCTTCGAGCACTTAAGCTGTTAGTACTTGGTGTTGTGCTCCAAGGTAAACAATTAATCACTAATTTTTATTATATTTAAAAGTTTTATGTGTTTTCTTCTCTAGGATATTTGAGTTTTATCTTAAGTTTGATACATTCTCTAATATTTAAAAATCAGGTGGTTACTTTCACGGTGTCCACAATTTAACTTATGGTGTTGATATTTTAAGTATTCGCCTGATGGGTGTACTGCAGGTAGCTTATTTAATCTCTCTTATTAATAGTTTTAGGATCATCAACTCTACAGTTTGTATTAGTTTATGAATTAAGTTGTTAATGTGCCTGATTTAGTTTCTAAAATATGTTATTGTTCATGGTACTTATTAAAAACACTGCACTTCTTGTAGAGAATTGCAATAGCATACCTTTTGGCAGCAATATGTGAAATTTGGCTCAGAAATGACGGTAAAGTTTTCTCTGGATGGTCCCTATTAAGGAGATACCGATATCAAACGTATGTTCCTTTTCTCTTAGTTTATTCAAGTATTATGAGGCACTGTGCATACATATCTGAGGATTTATTTCATGTGTATGAAGTAAAATTTGGAATGATGAAATTTCATCTCATCAAGAGCATCTGTGATTATCTGGATATTGAATAATCTAATATTCTGCTTCTGATACTTACCGTGATCTATGTCACTCTCTTGTATGGTTTGTATGTTCCTGATTGGGAGTACCATATAAGAGAGCAAGGTGCAATCAAATCATTCTCGGTATTTTTTTTTCTATCCTCAGCATTTGCAAATATTAGTTTGTCTCTTCTGATCTATATTTTGGTTAACCAATAGTATATTTTATTACATTCAGGTGAAATGTGGAGTTAGAGGCGACACAAGTCCTGCTTGCAATGCTGTTGGCATGATAGACCGTAAGATAATGGGCATTCAACATTTATATAAACGCCCTGTTTATGCAAGAACTGAGGTTGGTAAAATTTTGCAATTTGCATACTTTTCCCTATTTTTCCCGAGCATCATAACAACCATGTTTTTTTCCCTTCTTTTTAAAGCAATGCAGCATCAATTCTCCTTCAAATGGCCCTCTTCCAGCAGATGCTCCCTCATGGTGTCAAGCCTCTTTTGATCCTGAAGGGCTTTTAAGGTTTAATTCCTTATCATATTTGGCTCTTACATTGATATTTACGTTTTTTAACTAAATTACATGTTTATGTTTTTATTACAGCACTGTGATGGCAATTGTTAGTTGTTTGATTGGGTTGCAATTTGGGCATGTTATCGTTCATTTTCAGGTACCTTTGATCATATTGTTTTTTGTGTTACTACAAAAACAAAAGGAAAAAAAACTCATAATCTAATTTCTAAGACCAATTGTAGGATCACAAAGAGAGGATTGTACAATGGACCCTTCCATCCTTCTCTCTTATGGCTTTAGCCTTCTCACTTGACTTCTTCGGTACGAAGCTCGATCATCCAGCTGTATTTTGCTTTATAAGCAATGGTTTTGTTAAATTGAAAACTTCTCTTTTTTAGGGATGCATATCAACAAGGCTCTCTACACGCTTAGTTACACATGCCTCACCACTGGTGCAGCTGGGCTTCTTTTTGCAGGAATATATTTGCTGGTGCGATTTCTAATTCTTTTTGCAGATAAAAGTTTATGAATTTTTCTTTCATGCCAAGTTAAACCTGTTTGCTTATTGGAAATGCATATGTATATGTTATGCGTGTGTATATGAGGTGAGCTAGACTACTATTGATCCAACATGCAGATGATACAATCCAACTTTGAAGATTTCACATTTTAAGTTAAAAATCTATATCGAGGATATGATCTGGTGGACATAAAGCATAAAAAATGAAATAGTTTCAATAGTTTGACATTATTTTTTTTCGTTCATCAAAATGGCAATAAGTTACTATTTTTGTATAATGCGCGCATCAATGCTATCATGCGCCAAGAAATCACATTATAATAACTTTTTGTTTCTAGATAGATAGTTTCTCTATATATCTCTTCTTTGAACATAGAAGTTGGACCTGAGAAAGTAAATCGTTAAATTTGGATTAGAATTGTACCTAAATATCAGTTTAATTCTACTACTGACAATATGAATCTTTATGGTCCCCGACCCATAGGTTGATGTCTATGGAATTAGGCGACCAACCTATGTATTTGAATGGATGGGAATGCACGCACTGATGATTTACATTCTAATAGCATGCAATGTCTTGCCAGTTCTAATCCAGGGTTTCTACTGGAGAGAGCCACAGAACAATCTCGTAAGTATGTTCTATGTAGGGTAAATTTACACATAGACTCGCTTTATTATCGTTGTCTTGTACTTACCACCATCTGTAGTTTCATTGTTGCAGATAGACCCTCCGACAATACTGCAGGGGGTCTATGTGCAATTAACCCTTCTATTTATCTTGGTTCAATTCTCCTTACTATATCCGCGACAATATCTAATTTTTAGACTATTTGTTTTTTCTTCTTTGCAGTTGAGGTTGATCGGAGTATGAGGCCGAGCATGCGATGGGGATCCAGCTCCTGCTTCCTGTGGAGGACCGTGAGGCCTGTCTTTGGCCAATCCTCAGCAGCAAAACCTGAAGAATTTTTGCTGTGCTAGATTTGAGGCCGGCCTCAGCTTTGCATATGCTAGGAGAAAATGGCTACATAGGCATAGGTATATGCATCTGTTTATTACGGAGGAGCCACCAGCAAGAAAAGTATTGCTCAACTTGAGCTTGTATAGTTCTTATTATTTGAGAGGTAGAGACCACTATATAGTATTCATGTTATCCTTGACTTGTGTTGTATATATATATATATATATATATATATTTAAGAGCATAGTAGCTCTCAAATGTCATTTCTTCAGAGAACAAACTTCATCTCGTCCTCTTCTTGAGGATCAACTCCCTGGTTATTTTTTGGTATTTTGGGCCTGCAACTGGCACTTGCAACTGCAGTTGTATATATGCTAGGATCAGTCCTCTTACATCAAGAGCAAAGGTGATATGTGATCTCCGAAATATTTTGATTTGGACCAAAAACTGGATTATTGAAATTATATGAGCTGGTTTAACTGTATACACTTAATTTCACAAAACTCCCCTGATTCTTTTGTCCTGCCAAGCACCCTCGAACTTCTGGGTGGCCAACAATATCCCTAAACTTGATCATTTCCCCAGAGGACCCCCTAACACAATCGTTTCCTTAATTATTATTATTAGTGTGAATCAGCAAATTCTGCATAGTTTTATTGTACTTACTATTACTAAAGCTAATGGCTTTATCACTGTCACTAAGCACAGTAACTAAAATTTACCTATCAATTTATGTTTTTTAATGGTATTTGGGCCCACTAAATTTGAGGGATTAAAAAGTAAGTGACGTGATATTTTAGTGAATTCTAATCTGAAAAGTTAAGAGTTAGGTGGTTCACTTATTTCTTATCCAACCAGTAGGTCATGTCATATGGGAAAAAAAAAGGAGCACTAGGGGCACACCTTGGGACACACTCCCAACCACACCCCTCACCTGCTACAGTGCAGGGGGGTTTTTTTAAAAAAAAATAGCAGATAACCTCTAGCAACCTTGCTGTCGACGACTCCATCGTCAACCGCAATCATTGCTGTACAAACAAAAATGTGGCGGGCTCTACAAAATACATGCATCGAATAGAAAACGGACACCAAAAGATTTGTACAGTAAAAAATATTATAAAATTAGGAATAATGTTTTTCCAGCCGTTATAAATAGGTCTAAGGGATAATGTTTTTCCAGCTGTTATAAAAAGCTCTACCACCTCCGTCGCCCTCAGCCGAGTAATTAAGATTGATTCCTACGGTTTGTTAGTGTTTTAAAGTTTTATTGTTTTTGCTGTCTAAAGTGAGAGTTCGAGCTTGCTTTCTTGGTTCATCTCATGATGCACTTATATGATTTTTTTTTTCATTTAATATTACATGATGATTTGTGTTTAAATAGCAGAAGAAGAGCAGTAGATTGTCGAGATTAAATCGGGAGTCAAAGATGCTGAAGGATCGGTCCTAATTGAAAGGGAAAAAAAAATTGAACTTTTCTTTTAATTGCATTGATCACGATGGCCAACGCAGACAATAGCTGGGTGGTGGACATCGAAAGCAGCGTCGGCACCTCATGGAAGCTCGACCAACTTTGGACGAAACACTCAATCTACATGGTTCCCGCCCTCATAAAAGACCTCAACCCCAAGGCCTACAAGCCTCAGATCATCTCCTTCGGCCCCTACCATTATGGCGACGAGAAGCTGCAGCCCAAGGCCTACAAGCCTCAGATCATCTCCTTCGGCCCCTACCATTATGGCGACGAGAAGCTGTGCAGCCGATGGAGTTCCACAAGCGCCGGGCCCTCGTCCACTTCCTCGAGAGAGCTCAGAAGCCCTTGCGAGGCTTCATGAGCGCGCTCGAGGGGGTCGCGGGTGAGCTTATGGACTCTTATCAGGGTCTCGATGGGAGGTGGAGGGAGGAGAGGGGGCGCCGGGAGTTCTTGAGGCTGATGCTTTTCGATGGGTGTTTTATGCTGGCAGTTTTGAGGTTTTCGAAGGGTTATCTGAGCGGTTATACTGGTGGTTATGCGTCTACTGATCCCATATTTAGTGATCATGGGATGTCGAATGTCATGCGGCGTATAATGATGGATATGGTGAGGATTGAGAATCAATTGCCGTTGTTTGTTCTGAAGAAGTTGGTTGCTACGGAGACTAGCGGAGCTCCGGTAAGAAGTCATCCCTGGAATCGTGCTGGTCAATTCAAAAGTAGTCCTAGCTGGCTGGAATACCTTTGGGGTATTCCATCCTTATTCTCAAAAAAAATTCAAAAGTAGTCCTTCTATTGGTAACCCGGCCGTCTAAATTAGTAACTCAGGTTGGTTGAGTTAGGTGTTAACTATGCACATACGCTGGACTGCATCTGTACGCTCCATTAGCCGTCCCCCTACCAAAAAATTTCAAAAAAGTTTTAAAGAAAGAGCAAGATTAAATGGGTATAAGAAGTCACATTTTAAAAACATAATTTCGAGATAGATACGATGTGGGACTAATCATCGAGAAATCCCAACTTCATATTGTCGTGGGTCAAAGCAAGAGTGTCGTTTACGATCGAGCCTCCACATATCTAGTAGCTTTAATTAATTTTTGAATTAAAATTGGGTCCCTCTGCATTTAAGTCCCATCGTACTAACTAAAATTAAGGCTGAGATTATAAAAAATAAATAAATAAATAAAAAGAGGCTGAGACCATTTTTGTCCATGTGTACTTTTTAGGATGATGATGATGATGTGATCAACCAGCTAGTCCACGATTTCATTGGGTTTACCACCGGTACGCTCTGGAGTCGGGCTAGGCCTCCACCCTCTGTGTTGGGGATGCACAACCCCCTGATGCGATTTAGAAATAGAGATTTAGGAGAGAAGAGAGAAAAACAACCAATCTCAAACACACAAGATTTACGTGGTTCGCTTCTCAATGTGAGAAACTACGTCCACGGCCGTCGCAGGAGAAAAATTCACTATTTTTCGTCTCATTACATCATGCCCTAATCAACCCTTTTATAGACTTAAGGGTTTAACCAATAAAAAAGGAAACAAAACAAAACAGGTTAAAATTCGAAACTGGGCCAAAACCCGACTCCGGTCGACCGCCGCACCACGTGCGGTCGACCGCGACGAATCCTATTCCTGATCGAGCTCTCTGGACTTTGGGCGGTCGACCGCAGCGCCATGTGCGGTCGACCGCGAAGCTGATTGCAGACTGGGCTTGCTCTCTGGACTTTTGCCGGTCGACCGCAGTGCCATGCTCGGTCGACCGTGATGAGCTCCTGGCCTGTGCACCCAGCTGTGCACGACGTCGGCCCCCCGCCGCGCCATGGCCGGTCGACCGCGATGCAGAAAACTGTCTCCTTCGTCGTTTTGCTTGAACTTCTCCATCGTCGATCCTGTTCCTCCTGTTCCAACTTTGTTCCTCCTCTCTTCTGAAGTATAGGACATGCTTGATAGTTAGGCTTCACATATCCTAACAATCTTCCACTTGGAGACTAACTATCAATCTCTTTCAGCTCTCTCTGCGGCGACGGCCTCCATTCCATCAAGTGCTGAGGCCAACTGAAGTTGAACACAACTTTAGTTTCTCTGTAGTGACAACCTTGGTAAGCATATCGGTCGGGTTCTTACTTCCTTGAATCTTCACAAGTTCCAACATGTCCTCGTCCAACGCTGATCTTATGAAGTGGTAGCGGACCTGTATGTGTTTGGTCCTTGCATGAAAAGCGGGATTCTTTGCCAAATGAATTGCGCTCTGGCTATCACAATGTAGGACACTCTTCTCATTCTTCTGTCCCAGCTCTTCTAAGAAACCCTGCAACCATATCATCTCCTTGCTTGCCTCTGTCACCGCAACATATTCAGCCTCTGTCGTTGATAAAGCAATGATCTTCTGTAACTGAGAAACCCAACTAATAGCTGTAGAGCCCAAAGTGAATACGTATCCTGTAGTGCTTCTTCTCTGGTCTATCTCACCAGCATAGTCTGCATCAACAAAACCCTGCAGGACTAACTTGCCTCTCCTGAAGCATAAGCAATCTTCTATAGTACCTCGCAGGTATCTCAGAATCCACTTTACTGCTTCCCAGTGCTGCTCTACTGGATCTGACATAAATCTGCTCATAGCTCCCACTGCATGGGCAATGTCAGGTCTCGTGCATACCATAGCGTACATAAGGCTTCCGATGGCTGAAGCATAAGGAACCTTAGCCATGTAATCTTTCTCTTCATCAGTCTCGGGGCACTGCTCCTTAGTCAATCTGAAATGACTAGCTAACGGTGTGCTAACGGCCTTAGCACCACTCATCCCGAATCTCTCAAGCACCCGTCTAATATACTCGGCCTGAGATAGTCGTAGTGTGCCTAAGAGTTTGTCTCTACTGATCTTCATTCCCAATATCTGCTTCGCTGCGCCTAGATCCTTCATGTCGAACTCACTCGACAGCTGCTTCTTCAGTTTCTTGATCTCTGTCATATCTGAACCGGCTACTAGCATGTCGTCGACATATAAAAGCAGGATGATGTAACTGTTGTCAAACTCCTTGACAAAGCAACATTGATCAGCATTGCACCTGGAGTAACCGTTCCTGTGCATGAATCCATCAAACTTTTTGTACCATTGCCTTGGAGCTTGTTTTAGGCCGTACAAGCTCTTCTTCAATCTGCATACCATCTTCTCTTTTCCCTTCTGAGTAAACCCCTCTGGCTGCTGCATATATATCTCTTCCTCTAGATCACCGTGGAGGAAAGCTGTCTTTACATCTAGCTGCTCGAGATGTAGATCTTCAGCTGCAACAATACTCAGGATTGTTCTGATGGTAGTCAATTTGACTACTGGAGAGAAGATCTCTGTGTAATCAACTCTTTCTCTCTGCTGAAATCCTTTAACCACCAATCTGGCCTTGTATCTCTTGGAACCATCATATTCCTCTTTGATTCTGTACACCCATTTATTGCTCAAGGCCTTTTTCCCCGTTGGTAGCTTCGCAAGTTCCCATGTATTGTTGGTGTCCAAGGATTTTATTTCATCTTTCATGGCGAGCTCCCACTTGCTCGCATCATCCAAATAAAACAAAAAAAAATTTGAATAAGTAACATAGGTAAAAAAAAATTACTTACAATTTTTCCTCTTATTTGATTTCTTCATCCTCATACTAACAGTAATTGCAGATCCTTATCATCATTGTCAACCGAACAACTGTAAGTTCTTCTATTTTATCTGCTTTACTTTGTGCTTCAGCGAATTTGCATTGAGGACAATGCAAAATTTAGGTGTGGGGGTGAGAAATACATATTTTCCTCTTTATTTTACCTTTTTAGTTGCATTTTTCTTACTTTTTGTTAAAAAAAATTTATAAAAATATTGTCACTTGCCAAATTAATAGAGTTAAGTAAAAATTAATTTATTTGAAATTTTCTAATCCCTAGTTGGTTATTTACTTAAGTTCACTTTTTATGATAACTCTAAATAAATTTCTTAAGAAATGATTTTCAAAGTAGTATACTTTACTTAAGCCTTAACTTGGACTTTTATTTAAAATAATGAAATTTTTGCATGCTTAACTTAGAGTTGAAAATATTTTTTTCAAGTTATCTTGATTTATACATTTTTTTTTAAAGACTATATATACTTACACATATATATATTAAAAAAAACTAACCTTATAAAAGAAGAGTGCGAAAAATGGGCACCACCCAAAAAAAATAAATAAATAAAAACTCTTAAATTCAAGGTGATTCTATCTTATAAAGCCTAAGTTGACTGAGCAATTAAGCCCAAGGAGTATCTCTATACTTAATGACCTAAGCCCAATTGGGTTGGGATTCATTGGCCCAAAACTCGTTAAATGGTCACTTAGAAAGCCCGTTAAAATAGAAAACAATCACCAAGAATTAGAGAGTTATATATATATATATATATATAACTCTAACCATTGTTTTTATATATTGTTGTTTTGTATATATGGTCTTTGAAAAACAATTTTTGATCAAGAGACTTGAAAGTTATTTAAAACAAAGAGTTGGCATGTTCTTTTCAAAACTTTTTAATTAAATTTCTAAGATTTGACTTGGTTTTGTATTGCTATAATGAAAAAGATTTTCTAGGGGATTTACATTGGAGTTATATATAAAAACGTTTTCTTGATTATTAACTAGCTTCAATTAGAATGTTTAAATATATCAAGAAAAATCTGTTATTTACTGACTTATTTAACTTTGCAAGTTGACCGAATTTTGTGGGTATATTCTCTGCAAACCCTCACGAGACTATAACTCGTCAACTAGGGTAACCTAGGGGTTTAAAGGCTTGTTGTATGCGCTAAATACAACCGTGATTCCTGCAAAAGTGAGTTAGGATTTTCTTTTTATTTTCTTTGCTAGAGGACTAGCAAAAGTTTAGGTGTGGGGGTATTTGATAATCATATTTTATTATAATTTTATACCCTCATTATCTATTTTATATGAATAAATACAGCACTAATAATTGCTTTTATCTTTAATTGCAGGTTAATAAAGAATAAATCCCAAAAATCTCATCTCTCAACAAAGACTCTTGAGTAAATGAAGAAATAAGAGAATTAATTTTTAAAAATCACATGTGTGCAAGGAACCAGATTTGGACTTAGTTGCTTAAAAATGAATTGGACTTTTATGCAAAAATCACAAGGTGCTTGTGGGATTTCTGAAAATCAAATGGAGAAATGGGCTGGACAAATTGCTGCAACTCTTCATTTTCTAAAGCAAATGAAGCATACATTGGACTGTGTGCTGCAGAGAGTTGAAGACCGGACCTTCCTGGATCAAATGAACTTTAAACAAGATGGGCCGGTTGATTTTCAAATGAAATAAATTGGACTGCTGGGTTTGTATGGGCCGAAAATCCTTGCTGCAGCTCTTCTTTTGAAAATCAATGCTATGGGCCGGACTTTTCTTTTGATTTTCAAAATCAAATGAAGTGGGCCGGTGGTTAATGAATTGGACTTGGCTTAATGCAAAGATTTGGACTTAATTTCTTCATTGTGGACATTGCTGCAGAATTTCTCTCATGGACCTGATGCATTTCATTTTTCCTTAACTAAATGAATCAAGATCGGATGTACTGCTGCAGTTTTGAACTTTGAATCACAAATCATTTGGGCCGAAAATCAAGTGTGGGCCGAACTCGTTCAGGTGTTCCTTGAATTTCTGGCTCTCGGACATCCTCAAATTAAATAGCTTTTTAATGAGATGTACCTTATTCGCCGCAGAGGGCTGCTCATACATACTGGACAACGCCGCCATGAGATCCGCCGTCGTATTCTGATTCTTGATGTTGAACGCTACTGATTTAGACAAGGTCAACCTGATCGCTCCAAGGGCCTTTCGATCCAATAGCTTCCAATCCGCATCTTTCATATCTGTCGGCTTCTCTCCCAATGGTAGGTATAAATCCTTCTGATAGAGGTAGTCCTCCATCTGCATCTTCCAGAACCCAAAGTTTGTTCCATCAAACTTCTCAATCTTAGATGTTTCCTTCTCAGATCCCATTGTCTGTGACCTCAAATCGCTCGCGCCGAACCTGGTCGCTCTGATACCAATTGTTGGGGATGCACAACCCCCCTGTCCAATGGCTCATATTCATTGAAGATTACTATAAATAGGGATAGAGAGTGAGGGGTTAAGGGTGTGAAAAATTTTGTAAACTCTTTTTGGAGAGGAGAGCTACTCTTAATTGAGAAGGCCTTCCAAAAAATTGTAACTTTAGTTGCAATTAATAAAAATAATTTTTCCCTCTTTAAATTTGTTCTTTCTCCTCTTTGTTGAATGATGAGGATGGAGATGAAGAGCAAATTAAAGGTTTGCATTTCTTTTCTCTTTTATTTCTTTTTAGTAATTTCTTTATTATCGCTTATTAGTTAGATTTAAATTCATGCTTGTAGTGTAGATTTATTTTCTTGTCTTTTTATTTTCTTTTTGCACTTTAATTTGTAGAGTAGATTTATTTTTCTTGCATTTAATTTCTGCTGGGCTTGCTCTCTGGACTTTTGCCGGTCGACCGCAGCGCCATGCTCGGTCGACCGCGATGAGCTCCTGGCCTGTGCACCCAGCTGTGCACGACGTCGGTCGACCGCCGCGCCATGGCCGGTCGACCGCGATGCAGAAAACTGTCTCCTTCGTCGTTTTGCTTGAACTTCTCCATCGTCGATCCTGTTCCTCCTGTTCCAACTTTGTTCCTCCTCTCTTCTGAAGTATAGGGCATGCTTGATAGTTAGGCTTCACATATCCTAACACTCTGCACCTGTATCTCAAAAGCTCAACCCAAGGCAGGGGCGGAGTTACATTGAGTCCAATGGGGTCCCAGGACCCCAGTAAAATCTAAATATGTACCAGATATTACATATAAAAAACATAAGTGCAGCAATGGCCCAGTGGTTTAACACTCCAGGACCCCTGTAATCCACCAGAGTTCGAGTCTGCTGGGTTGCATATTTTCACGATTTTTTTGGACCCCATATGTGTTTTTAAATTATAGTTTGTCATTAAAATAATTTGTGCGTAAAATCTACATTATCAATAATTTTAGGACCCCATATGTTAAAAATCCTGGCTCCGCCACTGGAGGTGGGGGTAACTAATGTCAAATTGTCAATTTCGATAATTTGAGGACCGGCTTTGAAACAACATGAGAATTAAAGAGCCTAAAAGATATTTGAATGATTTGAGGTTCCAATTTACAATTGAAAGATTTAAGGGACTAATATTATGCAGGCTTCATACATGAGTAGCTTCGATAGATCTTTTTGCATGTCCCCATATAATAAATAAAATTTTGGGTGAATTTCAGAAAACCCCCTGAATTGTGGTTGTTTCTCAGATAATCCCCTTAACTTCTAGGACGGGGTCCTGACCATGCCCGCCATCACCGTCGACGACGCCACAGAATGCCAGTTCCTCAATCTCATGGCCTTCGAACGCCTCCACGTGGACGCCGGGAACACAATAACGTCCTACGTCTACTTCATGGACGTCATGGTCTCCGCCAAGGACGTCGCAGTTTTGGTGTCTGAGGGGATTATACATAACGCCGTCGGGACCGGCAAGGCGGTGGCGGAGCTGTTCAACAGCCTGGGCAGGTATGTGTCGCTGGACTCCGGGAGCGGTCTCTACGACGTGCTTCGGAGTGTGGATGAGTACTGCACGAGGGGTTAGAATAAGTGGCGGGCCAAAATGATTCATTTTTATTTTAAAAGCCCGCTAGCTAACTCGGTGGCTGCTTTCGTGTTCTTGATTCTGCCATTGACCTTTCTGCAGACGGTGTACACAATCTTGCAGTATTACACGCGCTCTTCTTGAAGGAGGCTCCGCCGGAGCTCGGGGGGCAATACAAGAAATCTGGTATTTAACTACCATAATTAGTGAAGGGACCAGTTGACCATCATTAATGTGCATGTAATAACGACGAGTTTTAAAACCTTCGTCGAGTGATTACAAATATTAATAGAATGATGTGAGATGGGATAACAGTTTTCTAATCCCTTCATTAATTTAATCCTAATACCGTCGTTATTGGGTCTCCTGAAAAACAAAGGGTTCCATCACCATCATTGATGATACTCCTAATCATAATAGGAATGATAGTTAAACCTATTACTATTGTTAGGATTTTTTCTTTTTCTTTATCTTCTCATATAAAAAAACTAATTTTCTTTCTTTCTTTCCTTTTTAAAAAAAAACTAATTTTCTTTCTTTCTTTCCTAAAAAAAAAACTAATTTTCTTTCTTTCTTTAAAAAAAAATTGTTTTGGTGTATGCAATTTTGGGTTCGGGATAATTTTTATCGCTTAATCCGTGTTGAACCAATCCAAGAAATGGCAAATCAACCAGTTCTTCAGGATATGTGTTACCCCACCAGAAATACAATTCCATCTTGCATAAGACTCCCCGAAGTAAATGGAGCAAATTTTGAGCTTAGACCGCATTTCATAAACATGCTTCCCAAATTCCTAGGTAATGAAACAGAAGATGCATATATATTTATCTCGGAATTTGAGGAAGTATGTATTATGATTAAAATGAGAAAATTAACCGAAGATGCGATTAAGCTTAGATTTATTCCATTTGCCCTTAAGAACAAAGCTAAAAAATGGCTGTATAGCTTACCGACAAATTCCATCTCAACTTGGGAGGAATTTGTCACCGTTTTTCTTAAGAAGTTTTTCCCTATTCACAAAACGGTAAAGCTTAGGAACAACATTCAGAATTTCAAAATTGTCTCGGGAGAGCCATTCTGGAAATACTTTGACCGATTTAAAGATCTTTTAATCCAATGTCCTCATCACGGTCTAGAAAAATAGCGATTGTGCCAAGTCATATATGAAGGATTGGATTATTCTTCAAAAACATCTTTAGAATCGATGTGTCAGGGAGATTTTATGAGGAAAAACGCCGATGAAGCTTGGGAATTTCTAGAGAGTTTATCCGAGAAAATAATGCAGTGGGAACATTGTAATGACAGGGTTTCATCTGTTCCCCAATCTAAGTCTAGTGGTTTTTCCTTGGAGTCAAATATTGCTTCTGAAGCGAAGATGGCGATGACTCTGCGGAGGTTAGAAGCCTTAGAAGTTAAGGAACGAGCTCCGGCTCAAATCAATCATATTTCTGCCCCGGGATGTCATAACTGTCAGTCTCCTACCCATGTTTCAGAGGAATGTCCTCTTCTAGGAAACAACCATGCTTTAGAACAGATGAACGCTGCATTCCAGCGCCCTAGAAATGATCCATTTTCTCCAACCTACAATCCAGGTTGGAGAAATCATCCCAATTTTGCTTGGAACCAAGGAAATTCTCATGGAAACCAAAACTTTATTCCCGCATCAAACCCACAATTCCCGAGGGGAAACACTTGCTTTTGAAAGGAAAATGAGTTTTTTTTACTAATTTGTTCTATTTACTAATTTGTTATATGGTAGTATTTTTGCCTTTAAATTGACCCTATAATTACATAAATAAATACTTTCTGAATGACACCATATATAGGTTAACTTCTTTGCATTAGAATGACCATATATCTGAACATATGAGTCTCTACATAAAAGTAACCATTTATTTGTGTCTAGTTTTTGAACTGGTTGAAATATTTTTCAGGAAATTTTAGTATATAGCTTGAAATGGCGCCGAATAAAGATTGGATGGACCTAGTAGATGATGATAGACTTGATCCAAAATATAAAGAAGGGGTTGATCAGTTTTTAGACTATGCATATGAGAAGCTGTTGGATAGTTTTAATGAAAAGGATGAAGACTTTGAAATTCGATGTCCATGTGTTAAATGCAGCAATGTGAAGTCTGGTAATCGTGAGTCGGTAAAGACCCACTTGATTATTCATGGAATTATTAAAAACTACAGATTTTGGTGTCATCACGGCGAAAGACAGGGTGAGTCCATTTCGGAGTTTGATGAAGAACAAGAAGAAATGATAGAAGAAAGCCAGAGTGACGATGAAATGCAAGAAATGATTGGAGATTTATTTCATAATTCAACTGGCGTTGTTGCACCTGATGCCACGTCGAGTCAGGATATTCTTGAGCAGGAACCAGATGGACATGCAAAACAATTCTACAGTCTTTTAGGTGACTCCGAGAAACCTTTGTATGAAGGCTCAATCTCAAAAGTCAAATTCCCGTCATTCTAGGAAGACCGTTCTTAGCCACCTCAAATGCTTTGATAAATTGTAGAACCGGTCAAATGAAACTATCTTTTGAGAATAAGACTGTTGACCTTAATATTTTTAACTTAGGGAGACAACCTAGTGACCCATCTGATGAACCCATGGAAGTGAATTTCATTCAAGGAATATCCAGTGAACAACAAGAGGGAGAGTGTGAGTCTGATTCAAATGCATCTGATTTAATGATTGAGGAGCTTTCTGATGACGAACTTGAGATAGAACCGCTGGTCAATCATGTTTTTTTATACTATAACTTGATAAATTGTACACTTACAATTTTGGTACATAATTATGCCGCATCACTTGTGCCAGCAATGCGCGACGCTTCTGGATTCGCTCCTCAAGGGTAGAGCGGGTCTTCTTGACACGGACTCATTCGTTCTTCTCTGTTTTAGAGGAGGAGTTAATGCAGCATAAACATATACCCAAAAAATATTACAAGTATACAACCGTGTCAAGTTATAGCATAAAAAGTTACGAGGAAGGTGTTTTGTAGGAGAAAATATAAATTGGTTCTTATGTTGTGTGCGTGACAAATAGGAGTGAAGAATAAGTGTGATTGTGGAGAGATGGAGAGAATGAAAATGATTGTGTAAATGAATATATTTGAGAGTGGAAGTGATAAAATAAATAAATATGATCAACAAGGCAAGAAGAAAAAATCAGGAAACAAATAAAAATCAATAATGAAAAATAAAATTCAATAAAGTAAAGTTAGTAGATTCAATTAAAGATATGGGTAATCTAAAATTGAACCCATATCTTAGAAAAGGGTGATTCCCTAGAAGGGTCTAGCCTAAAGGCGAACAAAGAAAATAAAAATAAACAAAAAGAAAAACTAAACCTAAGAGGGTTCTAGCCTCAAGGTGAATAGTACAAAAAATTAAAATCTAACTATATAATAAATTACAAAATCTAAACTATAAAATAAATTGTAAGAATTAAATACAAGAAAATAAATCTAACCTATAAGCATGAAATAAATCTAAGGCAAAAGGGTTCTAACCTCTTGGCTATTTAACAAGAAAATAAAATCTAACTACAAGCATAGAAATAAATCTAAACTAATAAGCAATAAAAAAGAAATAAAAAAGAAAAATAAAAACAAACCTTCAAATTGATCTCCATCTCTATCTTCATCATCCAACAAAGAGAAGAAAAGAAAATTTTAAAGTGGTGAAAATTTTCTTTTATTAATTGTAATAAAAAGTTATAAATTTGGAAGGTCTTCTTAATTAAGAGTAACTCTCCTCTCCAAATGAAGATACAAAATTTTTTACACCCTCAACCCCTAACTCTCTACCCTTATTTATAGTAAACATCAATGAATATGAGCCCTTGGATTAAAATCTTATCCAAAACCATCAAAAATCAGCCCTTAATTTGTAACAGAACTGTCAGTATCGATGCTGGCATCGATGCCGGCATCGATGCTAGCATCGATGTCCTATTAAATTTCTGCCTTCACGGATGGCTTCGTCTCGTCGAGAAGGTGATTTTCATATATTATATGTTAAATTCTGCCTTCCGGATTGAGAGATATCGTTGTTTCTTTGCGGCCAACTATCTTAAATACATTTTTTTATTTGATTTTTTTATTTTCTCGGGCTTCTACAGGCTACTCGGCTTGATTTTGGGCTGGCTTTTTCTTGTTTTCTTCATTTAATTCATGGGTTTTTGTTGATAGAAGAGATCTTAGGCTTTATTCTTCATTAACCTGTAATTAAAGATAAAAATAATTATTAATGGTATATTTATTCATATAAAATAGATAATTATGGTATAAAATTATAATAAAATATGATTATCAAATACCCCCACACCTAAACTTTTACTAGTCCTCTAGCAAAGAATGAAAAAGGAAAGAAAACCTAACTCACTTTCGTAGGAATCACAGTTGTATTTAGCGCATACAACAAGCCTTTAAACCCCTAGGTTATCCTAGTGGATGAGTTGTAGTCTCGTGAGGTTTTGCAGTGAATATGGAGAACCCCGTAAATTTTATAATGAATATATTGAATTTCTAATGATAAATAATTCCTTGTGAATATTAAATATATATATATACATATATAAGGAATGTGATTATCAGTGTACGGGAACTCATCAAGTGTTTTTAAGTGAGATAATTTGAGTAGTTCGAGCATTATGTGGTGATCAGATCAAACCTGGCAAAGTTCATCTGATCGGTCGACTGCAGTGGATGTGGCGGTCGACCGCACCTCGTTCTCGCACTCAGGAAACTCGTTTCCTACTGTGCGGTCGACCGCACTGGGCGCGGCGGTCGACCGCCCAGCAGGCAGAGAGTTTGCTGGGTTTTGGGTCTTAACGGGTTTCGGGTCGGGTTTGGGGTTTAGTATATATTCTAATTTACCCAAGAGAACCCCTTTTCTCTGAAATCAGAACCCTAGCCCCCCTCTCTCCCCTCAAACCCTACTTTCTCACTCTTTGGTGATTTGGAGGGGCTTTGAAGGGTTTTTCAGCGGATTTTTGGTGGTTTCAGCGAGAGGGATCATCTTCCTCCAGATCTAGGGCTTCGTTTTCATCGTAGGCGAGTAACA